TATGTATGCATGCATGCATGTACATTTTTACCACAAAGGTTCATAATGGCCTGATCAATCTGGACCAAACTTGGTACACGGACTCTTTATTATCCAACTTAAAATAATTGAGGGGGTTGGATTAAAAGAACCACCCCTTTCAGGGATAGAGCTGAGGAAAACAAAAGGAGCAAAGTAGATAGGCTGTTGCTGTGAAGTGGCCCTCTGAGGGGAAGTTTGTTTTCTGCTGCCCTGGAGACAAGGGTGTGGAACAATGGCTTCAAACTATAGGAAAGGAGATTCCACCTAAACATGAGGAAGAACTTCCTGACTGTGTGAGAGAGAGCCGTTCAGTACTGGAACTCTCTGCCCCTGAGTGTGGTGGAGGCTCCTTTGGAAGCTTTTAAGCAGAGGCTGGATGGCCATCTGTCGGGCGTACTTTGAATGCAATTTTCCTGCTTCTTGGCAGTGGCTTGGACTGGATGACCCACAAGGTCTCTTTCAACTCAGTGATTCTATGATTCTATAATTTCGCTGGGAAAAAAAGTGAAACAGCTTGGCTACTGCTAGGTGACATGTGTATGATAGGAAAGGAGGGAGAAAAGAAAAAGAAGGGAATGGAAGGAAGGAAGGGAAGGGAAGGGAAGCAGAAGACAAAAAAAAGAGGGAAGGAGGGGAATAAAAAGGATGGGAAGAAAAAAAGGACTAAGGAAGGGAGGGTGGGAAGAAAGAAAAAAAGAAAGGAGAGAAAGGAAAGAAAGAAGAGGGGAAGGTGTATTAGGAAAAACAAGAGAAGAAGAAAAGAAATGAAGAGAAGAGAGTTGTATGAGGGAAATGGAGGAAGTAAAGATAAAAACCCACAAAGAGAACCTTCTCACCATTGCCATGTTGTCATGGAGATTTTGTAAGGCTTACCTTCTCAGAGCTGGAGAAGGGAGAAAGTAAGTGGACAGTGGCCTCTCCAGCATCCGGGCAATGCTGGGTATATGTGTCAGTTCTAAAATATCGAGGCACCTCTTCTAACTTGTAGTTGCTGGAATAGTCCTGACCACTTTTGGACTAAAAGAGTTACTCCATTCTTGGGCTACAGAAAGAATGGAAGAGACAGGGCAATGCAAGGAGAGTGAGAAGGACCAAAATAGGCAGAATCAAGTGTTTGAATAAGTTCACTTTCCCAATCACCAAATAGCAAGAGAGCTGTCCGCAGCATTGCTTCTTGGATGAAAGAGTCGAGTGGCAGCTCATCCCAGTTTGGCCAGTGCTCTCCCACTTCTCTCCTGACAGCTGCCAGGTGGAATGAGTGCGGACGGCACAAGAGACCTGCTTTCAGAGGGAAGAGGAAGTGTGAGTGGCGCTTCCCATTTCTCATAGATAGCATAGAGTTCAAAAGTGAAATTACCTTTTTTTCAGGCACAATGCCAGCTGCACAGAAAACGGAAATGCTTACTGTAGCACAGCGTTGACATCAAACCAGCAACCACTGGCTCTTTTTTGTTGCCAAGTATCACTGAGTCTGCTGCCACGGTCCTGGCTTTGCATTGGGGAAAAGGGGGCACTTGGTCTGTTTATTGTAATGAGATTGCCTTTCTGTGAAATAATGTTTGTTTCTCATCAGTAGCTCTCAGTTAATCCACACAGAACGAGATATGGATTTCTGTAACTCCTGTTAATGCAAGATCCAACAACTCCCAAATTCCATACTATTTTCAAAATACTCTTGGGTTTTTCTATTTTGTGCCCCCCTTTGTGCATTTGTCGCATTTCTGCATGTGAATAAGAGGAAATCTACTTTAGGCAATGGTTACTTAGCTCAGGTAATCCTCTTGTAAAGCAGATAACTCCTCATTCATTCATTCTCTCTTGAATGTGGAGAAGTAATGATCCGACTGCTTTGGGCTACCAGCTCCCTTACTTCCAAACCCTTGGGTTTTTTCAACATTATTTGTTATTCAAGAAAGCAAACCTACAATCATGCATACAAACAAAGACCTACCTATACAGAAAAACAAATTGCACAAAACCAAAGGACAATATCCCCCCCCCCATAAAAAAACAAATGTTTTTAATATGAAAACTAACCTACAACAACTAACAGAACTCAATCTAAAACAATCATCCTAACCACTACAATCTCCCATAACCCATCCATTTCCCACATACTACACATATTGTGGTAAAAGCTCACCCATACGCCTCATACTTTCCATCTGTTGATTTTAATGTTTTCACTTTTCTTTTTCAATTTTCTGTACCACTAGGCTTCGCTGAGCCTAGAACCCCAGGTTTCGGCAGTGACCGGGGAGTATTTGCAGAATTAAAACTTGTCCGCCAGCTGTGCCCATACCTTAAGAAGCCAGACTTGGCCACGGTGGTCTGTGCTCCTGTTACATCTCATATAGACTACTACAACGTGCTCTACGTGGGGCTGCCTTTGAAGACTGTCTGGAAGTTCCAAGTAGTCCAAAGGGCAGCAGCCAGATTTACTGAAGGGATGTACAGGGAGCATGCCCCCCCCCCCCCCGTTATGTCAGCTGCCCTGGCTGTCAGTTTGCTAATGGGCCCAATTAAAAGTGCTTGTTGTGGTTCAGCCAGATGAAGATGAGGGATTTGGGGGTTCATGGCCGTTGGAGCAAGATGGTTCTCCAACTGAGGTAATGGAGGGGGTTTTGGAGCAAGATACTGTTATTGAGACAGAGTGTGAGAGTGAAACTGTTTTGGAAGCCAACAGGCCAGGAGGGGAGGATAACATTAGCTCATCCAAGGAAGCAGCTGGCTTAGACAGAGATACCAGGCTGCTTCTGAGGGAGCCGAAAGACCATGAGAAAGAGAGACAGAAGCAGGCCTCTCAAGATCAAAGGAATGCATTTGAGTATTGCAGTCTTTAAATTAGGGAGAGAGCTGTTAAGATTTTAGATCGAGCAACATTGCTACTGGAGTGAAAAACTCCTATCTAGTCCCTGGTTCGTGCCTTAGTTCAAGACCCAAGATTCCTAGTCAAATTTAGCTCCTTGTTTTATGGATTTACCTATGGATTCATGCTCATGTTCTGCTCTTTGTTTCCTGGAATTATGTTCATGTTTTAATCATTGTTTTGTGGATTTACCTATTGCCTTTGGGACTTGCTGCCTTTATTAATTCTTGGATTTTTACCCTACTCTATGCTTAAGGTGCCTTTTGGTCCTTTTTATATGTATTTTAATGATAAAGTCTTTATTACCACGTTGGGTTTCTTGGTGAGTGCTGTGAGCAAAGTGAACCCCTGCTGAGGTTCAACAGTACTGGCTTTTGCCTATAAAGCCTTAAATGGTTCTGGTCCAACTTAACCTGTCTGAACATATTGCCCTTTATGAGCCTACTAGAGTGTTAAGATACTGCTTGGGAGGCCCTGCTCTTGGTCCCACCTTCCTCACAAGTGCAACTGGTGGGGACGCGAGACAGGGCCTTCTCAGTGGTGGCCTCTCGGTTATGGAACTCCCTCCCCAGTGACATCAGGCTAGCCCCATCCTTCCTGATCTTCAAGAAAAGGCTGAAGACCTGGCTCTGGACACAAGTGTTTGGAGAATAGGATATTGTAGAATTGACTTCAGCAGCTTGAATAATGACCATGGGAAAATCAATAAGTATGGAAACCAAGACTTGGCACTTTGTGATGTTTTTAATCTGCTTTGGTTTTAATTTGTTTTATTGCTTTTATGTATGTTAATTTATTTATATGTTTTAACCGTTTATAGTTTGATATGGCTTGTTTTATTATTGTTTTATGATGTGGCATTGAATTTTTGCTAAAGTTTGTAAGCTGCTTTGAGTCCCCCGTGGGGTGAGAAAGGTAGAGTACAAATAAAGTAAATAATAAATATTCTACTTTTAGAAACACTCTTCTAAACCAGAAAACCAATTGTAGAGATTTGTCCCCATCTTTGATATTAACAAGTAATAAATAAGTCCCAGTCTTTTTTGAAATTGATCAAGGATTTCTCCTTGATCAACATCATGAGTTTGTCCATCTTGACAACTTCACATATCTTCGAAAGCCAAGCTTCTTGCATCGGAGTAGTTGAGTCTTTCCAGCTCTGGACATAGATGATTCTCATTGCTATAATGATACTCAGTAATAAGCTTCCACATTTTCTCTCTAGTTGATCATCCTGCATCCCCAACAAGTAGAACTCAAGTTTGATCGTAATTTTGACCTGAACAATTTCTTCTAAAATCATATGTGTTTGATTTTTTAATCAATTACATCTTGCCTGGCCATAGGTTTTAAATTTTTGTGTGTTATTGCCTGTATGTGAGTTATATTAATTGTATTGTTTTATTTGCTTACTGCTTGTTGTTTTATTGATTTGTTGTTGGGCTTGGCCTCATGTAAGCAGCCCCAAGTCCCCTTGGGGAGATGGTGGCCGGGTATAAATAAATTATTATTATTTTTTTTATTATTATTATTATTATTATTATTATTATTATTATTATTATTATGTGTCAAACCCAAGGCCAAATCTGCCCCTCCATGTCCTTTTATGTGGACCTCCAGATGCTGGACTCCAACTCCTATATTCATCATCATTAGACATCATCATGGCTATAGCTGATGAGAGTTAGGATACAGGAACATCCTTGAAGCCACAGATTCTGTTGGGTTGCAATTCCCATTTTCCCAGTCTGCATGGCAGGTCATCAGGAGTGATGGGAGTTGCCGTTCAGTGACGTCTTGGGACCCAAACTGGGCAAAAGCTAAATAGCACCAGCCATTATGTAAAAGAAATTATAGCCCGCCCTCTGTATTCAGGGATTCTCCGTCCATGGATTCAACAGCCCTTGAGGGCAACCATAAGTTTGATGTGGCCCTTGATAAAAATGGGTTTGACACCTCTGTCCTAAAGCATACCCAGGAGTTATGCTGACACGATACCCTAGCAGGTTCATGGGCAATATACATAATCTCAAATTGAATGGAGGAAGGTGTTTTTTAAAAAAATATGAAAGGCAAAATAACGTAGAGTGTACATTTTCCCCCCTCGCAGGAATATTGGAAAGCGATAGGCTAAAGGTTGTGAAAGAAAAGACGATTGATCAGAAGATCGGGACAACAGTATATCATGCAGCTGATATGTCCGTCTGGTGGCAGATCCCTCAATACATTCTGATCGGTTTCAGTGAAATATTTGCAAGCATTGCGGGTAAGTCTTTGCAAGTGGGTTTGGTATTTCATAGCAGCTTGGGTCCTGTGACTTATTAGTGACCTAGTAAAGTTTCTGCTGTGATGTTTCTTATTGCCAGATGTTGGTTCTTAGCATTGTAAGACTGTCTACCTCCAGAGCCTGAAATGAGTGATATGTTCTTTGTTGTTTCCCCCCAAATCAGGTTATTAGGCATTCCATATTACAAATAGGTTAATTTCTAGCTTACAATCTTTTCAAAGAAAACTATTGTCCCAGGATGCAGCATCTTCAACGTAAAGTGTATACCTTACATGTTGCAGTAAAAAATGTAAGTGGTGATGCCATCTGTTCCAATATTTCTCAAAGGGAATGAACTTATATCAGTGTTTCTCAACCTTCCTAATGCCGCAACCCCTTTAATACAGTTCCTCAGGTTGTGGTGACCCCCAAACATAAAATTATTTTCATTGCTACTTCATAACTGTAATTTTGCTACTGTTATGAATTGTAGTGTAAATATCTGATGTGCAAGATATATATTCATTGGACTACATTTGGCACAAATATATGATACACCCACATTTGAATATTGGTGGGATTGGGTGGGGATTGATTTTGTCATTTGGGAGTTGTAGTTGCTGGCATTTATAGTTCACCTATAATCAAAGAGCATTCTGAACTCCACCAACGATGGAATTGAACTAAACTTGGCACACAGAACTCCCATGACCAACAGAAAATACTGGAAGGGTTTGGTGGGGATTGACCTTGAGTTTTGGAGTTGTAGTTCACCTACATCCAGAGAGCACTATAGACTTAAAAAATGATAGATCTGGACCAAACTTGGCACGAATACTTGATATGCTCAAATGTGAACACTGGTGGAGTTTGGGGAAAATAGACCTTGACATTTGGGAGTTGTAGTTACTGGGGTTTATAGTTCATTTACAATCAAAGAGCATTCTGAACACCACCAACGATAGAATTGGGCCAAACTTCCCACAAAGAACTCCCATGTCCAACAGACAATACCGTGTTTTCTAATGGTCTTCAGCAACCCCTCTGACACCCCCTCGCGACCCCCCCCCCCAGGGTCCCGACCCCCAGGTTGAGAAACACTGACTTATGTCCTTGTTTTACCACAATGTTAAGGCTACACGAACCCATTAGTTTCACAGTCTGGCCATTTTCTTTACAAAACATTGTTGTGTGGGAACGAGATTGGGACTGTGGCACATGGTGCCAAAGGTTTAACATTTTTACCCCTTTCTTCTCTTCCAGTCCTTGCAGATCATGATAGCAGGGGATGATGGGAATTGTAATCCAGCATGCCTGGGTGGTACCAGTTTAGGAAAAGCTGAGAGACATGAATTACCAATGGTTTCACCTGGTTTAGGGCAGCCTCTTAAGAAGGGCGAGCCATAGCTCCATGGTATAACATGGGATTTGCATGCTCAGATTCAACTCCAAGCACCTTTCTACCCCAAGAGGATCTTGATAGTCAAGTTGGAGTTGGGAAATGCCTGAACTTTGAGAGCTACTCTCACTGCCCAACAAAAAACATTTCTTGGACTCTTGGTTTATAGGACTGTTTCTGGGGTTCTTCGGGCCGCTTATTTAGAAAATTGCATTGGATAGATAGCACCAGCTCTGGTTTGTTAAATATAGTGGCCCTTCTTTTCTATAGGTGACTGGTAGATGACATATGCTCTGTACCTCAAAAACTAGAAGAGAAGGCTGAGAGGAGACATGATGGCCATGTATAAATATGTGAGGGGAAGTCATAGGGAGGAGGGAGCAAGCTTGTTTTCTGCTGCCTTGGAGACTAGGATGCAATGGAACAATGGCTTCAAACGACAGGAAAGAAAGGAGATTCCACCTGAACATTAGGAAGAACTTCCTAACTGTAAGGAGAGCTGTTCAACAGTGGAACCCTCTGTTCCAGAGTGTGGTGGAGGCTCCTTCTTTGGAGGCTTTTAAACAGAGGCTGGATGGCCATCTGTCGGGGGGGCTCTGAATGTGGCTGTCGTTCTTCTTGGCAGGGGTTGGACTGGATAGCCCACAAGGTCTCTTCCAACTCTATGATTCTAGAGCTGATAGGGAAGATGGGTGTCATTTTTGGAATCAGCAGGTCAAATATACCCAGAAACAGGACTAACATTTGAGGCACCAAAATGTATGTTGGCCAGTCCTATCTCTAAGAATGATGATAGAGGGCTAGATGGACCAATGGTCTGATTCAGTTGGTAATAATTTAATCTCTCCCCGATAAATTGCTTGAGAATTACTGCCCCGGCCAAATAACAAGTATCTTTGCATGTCTCTGTGCCTTGCTTCTTTGATATAGTGTCCAACGACAACATTGGATCCTATTGATTACCTTCCCCATTCTTTTCTCATGGGAAGGGAATGTACAAGCAAGAGGGGTGAGTGTGGGCCATAAAAGCTCATTTTTCTGGTCTGTTTCACACACATTAGCCAAAAAAGGGGGGAGAGTGCCCTAGTTTTTGTGTCGCTTCTTTTGCTTAGAATTGTAATTAAATAATGGTTTTGTTCTCTTTTCTTCCTTCTCTCCTCACCTCACCTCTGTAAACATTTTGCTAGGTCTAGTTTGGTGGTTTACAAGGGCATGGAATCAAGCCAGGATTTAAAATGGTTGGCAAGGTTTTCTTAATTCTGAGAATCGGTCAATGTGAAGAGGAGGAAGAGGGCCAGAAGACACCACCACATCTGTATGTGGTTTTTAGTGAATCTCGTGCTCTTGCGATTTGGTCAGGGCAGTGATTTTCAAGCTATTTAACAGGGAGAGATTAAATTATTATGAATTGAATCAGACTACTGGTCCATCTAACCCTCTGTCATCCTCCTCGTACTCCTCTTCGTCCTCTTCATTTTATTACTAACTAACTTGGGTACCTGCCTTGGTTATTAGAAGAAGTCATTTTTTTATTTTACAAAATGCAGAAGGTTGTAGGTGAACTGAAACTCACATCATCCCAGGTTAACTCCCTGAAACTCCATCAATACTTAAAGCTTTTTGTGTTGGGCAAGTTTGCTCTAGATGCATCCCTCCAGTATGTTCAGTTGGTCATGGGGGTTCTGTGTGCCAAGTTAGGTTCAGGTCCATCATCAGTGGCGTGCAGAGTGCTCTTTGATTGTAGGTTAACTATACATCCCAGTACCTACAACTAGCAAATGTCAAGGCCAATTCACCCCAAAACCCACCAGTATTCAAATTTTGACATTTTGGGTATGCGTGCCAAATGTGGTGCAGATCTGTTGTTGTTTGCATTCACAGTGCTCTCTAGATGTAGATGAACTATAATTCCTATAAATCAAGATGAATTTCCCCCAAAGTCCTCCTGTATTTTTTTGTTGGTCATGGGGATTCTGTGTGTCAAGTGAGGTCCAGGGCCATCATTGGTGGGGCCCAGAGTGCTCTTTGATTGAAGGTGAACTATAAATTCCAAATGGCTGTAAATGAAGGTGAATTCTCCCCAAATCTTTCCATTATTTTTCTTTGGTCATGGGAGCTCTGTGTGCCAAATGTGATCCAGGTCCATAGAGTGTCACAATGCTCTGACTTGATGCAGCATGACCTACAACTTCCATCATGTGGAGTCAATGCCCCTAACTTCTCCAGTATGTTTAATTGCTGATTAGTTCTGCTCTGTTTGTTGTGCAGAAAAGAATAGGAAAGAGTTAAGAAAGAGGCAGTGGTCGGGATCATGCAATTTCCACACCAATGGAGAGAGTAAGAAACACTGGGATGTCTGTGGTGGAGGATACACCTAAAATCTAGGATGAATTTCTCCCCAAATGAAAGCATTCCTTGGGTGGTGGGCAGTATGGTGTTTGGGGAGGACATTGGCAGGGTTTGGGCTACATGTTCATGGTGCTCGCTAAAACCTGAAATATCACTTGAGGAAGGGCTTTCGGCACTGTGGGTTATAGCTATTTGTGGAAGTGGGAGCCTGTGTGTGGAAGTGGGCACCCCAGCCACATACATACATACACATTTTCACTTTTATTATGGATATAGATTTTTACAGATAGAAAGGAGAAGCCATAATACAACTGTAATAAAGTGAATAAGCACATTATAAAGTTATACATTATATTTTTAAAAGCAATTTACTAATCTACTTTCTAACTAGCACCCAAATTTACATATGACAACACACAAAAAACCCCATATGAATGCAAAAAATAAAACACACCAATACACAGGTATACATACTTAACGTAAGTACCAAAACAAGACTAACAAACATAAATAGTAGTCTACAGATCACTCTGCCTACTGGTTTTCTAGTCCTAACTAGCCCACTCCCTTTAAGAAATATTATATGACCACATTTCTACATTCAATAACATACTACAAGCTCATAAATCCCACAAGTAATGACCACTCTCCCCCCAAAAAATCTCTTTGGAACATATTACACTATGTAACATGTTTTTTGTTGCTGGGTTATAAACATCATTTCCTAATTGATTGTATCGTAAACACATGGAAAAGGTTTATTAAACTGCAGTACATTTTGCTCTAGTTTCAATGAATAACCAATAGAGTCTCAACCAATTCAACCTAGTTTGTGGCAGTCACAAAAACGAAGTTTCTGGAGTATACCAATTACTTTCCTTGTAAGGATCACACAATTAAACAGGAAATAACAAACCAAGAACAGATTTTTTTTTTCAAATTTCGTTACTTAGTGTTTATTCAGTTAAGCCCATATCTCTCTTAAAAATAGACAGATATCCCTTCTCTATCAGCCTAATTAATTTGTCCATCTCAGTTCATCACATAACAGCTCATCATGAGCTGTTATCAAAAACTCGCATGTTCAGTCTTAAAGATGACCTGCATCAGGAAGCAGTCCATCCAGAAGGTCTTCCTCTCCATTTTCACTTCCCTTCTGGTGCTTCCTCAGAATAGCACTAACCCCCTATCATCATTCTTGGAGATTGTAGCTCTCAAAGTTTAATTATATTTTAGGAAGGGTTTTTCTAAA